TTCTTTGGTCTGAAAGCTCTGTTGAGAAGATATGCTCTTTAATGCTTTATGAAAGGTTAATTTGAACAGACTTTGGGAAAGATACCACTATGGAGAGTGACTTCTTGTATGTATGCTGTTTACTTTTGTTAATGTTGCTTCCCTATTAAAAAACAAAACAAAGCTACATTTGGAGGTTGTGTTTCCTGTAATCTAATATTTTATTTTGACTATTTTTGGAACATTTTTTCAGATGTGGCTCATTTTATTTTTGTAAACCAGTGGTGTTTTTCATGTATTTACTCTCTTATAAAAGCCCATACTTAGCTTTGCACAGATAAAAATCTGAAGAGTTTGTTTTCCTTGGTAAAAAAGCCTTAGCTATACTTTGATATGAGGAAATCAGTATGTGATACTTTTTGCAGTGAATATATAAATGAGTGTGTGTAAACTTTTTTTTTCTTCAAGCGCACCTTCGTGTAAAGTCTTCATGGCTTGTCAATACTTTTCTTACGTTACTCATTTCTATGAGATAAAATGACTGATTTTAGTGAATACTAAACCATCAAAAATGTGTACTTACACATCTATGTCAATGTATATTATAAATGTGTATGGCTACATATTTCTGTCTCTTTTTTTGGCTGTTCTGTACGTGCATGTGTGTTACTACCTAATTTAATGAGTATTTCAGTAACAGAGTAGATCTAAAACCAGCAGTGCAGGGAGAACATTCTTAGTTGTGTACAGGAACAACTAAGGAAAAGACATTGCACGTCTTCCAGATTCATCATGCTTTAAAGCACTGGAATGTAATATACCTACATGATTCCGGAATTCAGATTTCTCCCTTTTTTTCCATGGACATCTACAGTGTATCCCAATTCAAAACTAAGAATTTTTCGTAAGTGGGGTAGGTAGATTACAGAATTGGTCATTAGCAATTCAGTTCAATATTTTTTTCGCTTCAACTTTTTTCTCTGCTCATTTTCTCTTTTCTCTACCATTATCTCAGGGATTTTACTGTGGTTTAAAATCCTTTCACTGCTTTGTGGAAGGTTCATTGTGAGCTCTTTTCAACCCTTGATGGTATGCTTTGGACAATTCTTCATTCAGAGGTCTGCACCAGAGGAGTCTCTAGAATGTTTGCCTAAGATGAAATAATTTTATCATCATGCATTGGCCAGTAGACTTATGTAGAACAAGTAATTCCTCTAATTTGATCTATCTTAGGATGACTTTTGGAATATTACAGATCTTTGTGTCTCTAAGAGCCAAACACTTCTGATAATGAATGGCAAAGAATGCATGACACAACATAAAGGTAGGTTTCAGTACCCAAACTTAAGATTTTTCCATGTTGTATCAAAGTTGGCTGTTGTTTTGGCTGACATCAGTTCATCACATAACTTTGGAAAGATTGCAATTAATCAGTGATTGGTCTTTTATCCCAGCAGAGTACTTTTCTGGGCATACCAGAAATTCCTACCTGAAGCAGTCACAGAATTTCATTTGAATTAGCAAGTTCATCTGTCAGGAAAGAAGGTGTTTTTGTAAACCCTGGGGGTTAGGCATGCCTAATCTTTTTAATTAGGAATTAATTTAATTTTAATTCGTGTAATTTTATTAATTAATTTAATTTTAATTGGGAACTAGGCCTAATGCATCAGTCTGTGTGCACGCAGTATCCACTGTATGGGATAGCTGGATTGGGTATCATTTCAAAGATGGTAACCCATGTCTGGGCTGAGGCTTCTGAATTCAACATTGCACAAGGTAGTGCTTCATTTTTTCCTTTAATAATAATATTTAAGTTCCTATCCTGGAATATTCTTTTGCCTTTGGTTTGTTATCAAGGAGATGACTGTATAGGCATCCCTCAAATGAAAGTTACTCATCTGCTCATTCGGTCAAATTTTCTTTAGAACACATTTCTCATGTTCCCAGATCTGCCTGCAGCCTCTTCAGCCTCATGCTGAGAAGTGGGAAGTTGTAATTCAGAAATAAAATGTTTAATTACTGAAAATCCCAAGTAAAATAAAATTTCTTCTACCTGGGGCAAATTTCCACTAGTCCTTTACAGGGTATTTTAGCTTCAGTTAGTTGGCATATCTCCACATAAATCAGGAAATACTTGGGGCTTGGTATTTTTGGCAGGTTGGTTTTTAGCTATTATTGTTCAGTGCCTTTCTCTGATTTTAGATCTTTATCATTTCCAAAGTCATATTGACTGCACAGTATGAAGTAAAATAAAAAAATATAATCTGTATCTATTGATCCATTTACATGCATAAATAGCATATGTGTATGTGTGTGTTTTGTGTACACATACTTAACATGGTGTACAATGTGTTAGATTGTATTTGTGTCGATAAAATGTAAATTTGGAGAAAGATAGCTTTCCTGTAGTTTTTTAGCCAGCTCTTAAAAAGTTGATTGTAATAATTATATTGGAAAAGTAGTAATTGTTCTTATTTTGAGTACCATGAATTATTATTAATCTAGTATTCAGTGTATAATGAACACAAAACATCATTGCATAGATAAAACTGTGGTCAGTGTTCTAGAACAGAATCTGATTTTGACTTTGTGTCAACAAAACAACCTCATATAAATGTTGCCATAGTCCATAACTTTATTAAGTGTTCTTTATTTATCTTCTTTATAGCAGTACCAATTAGTAACCATAAAGCTTACATCCCAAGTAGGTGTGTTAAGCTTTATTGCATATTACTTTGTAGCTAGCTTTTTGGATTCTTGTGATGAAATGCTTATGATAACACTTGCCTGCAATGTCTCCTTTCCCATCAGATTCATCTTCTCATACAGCTGTGGGGCTCTTGTCATCTGCTATTTCCCAAGCCACAATTTCCTCATCAGTTTGTGGCTAAAACCCAAATCTTGATGATCCTTTTCCATCTAGTTCAATGTTGATCTTTCATCTTCTGCATTCTTTTAACCAGAAATCTTTTGCCAAAAACCTGACAAGATTGTACTGGGCGTCATCAACAGCAACATCAGGCTTGATTTCAGTGAGCAAAGATGAAACAGCTGTTTCATTGTCCAGATCAGCACTCAAGCACTCAATATTTGGTCATAATTTTTTCCAGCTTTGTCTGGCTATGATAGCCTTGATGTTTTTCCCTATATGACTAGCGTTGTAACTTCTTATATTTTGCTGATCCATTTCTTCAGTGGTTCAGAAATAGATACTGCTTCTTCAGACAGTATTTCTATCCTATTGTCTTTTGTACTGTCTCGTATTGTCTGCGTTCATTCTTCAGAAAGTCTTGCTTCACTTTTGCAAGTCAATGTTCTTGCAGCGTAACATCCAGAATTGCCAAATCATGGCTCAACAGTTGCCGTCATGGGAAAGCTGCAGATGGCTTTGCCTTATGAAAGGTTGTATCAGATAAACTGCTAAATTTTGAAAATAAGTGATGTAAAGTGTCTGACTAAAGTTTGCAGAACTTCAAACTCTCTCTCTGTATGCATGTGGGAAGTATTTCTGTGGTCTAAAACTTGTCTTTTCAAAGCTGATGGGGTTTTTTTGTTTTTGTTATGGCTAGAGGACACCAAAGTGGCATGTTACTGTATTCCAGAAAGATTTTTTTAGTGCTTTTGGAGACGAAGCTAATGACTGTACATTCAGAGGGAGGAGAGATGAGAGTTCTGTTTGTCATTGACATTAGTATTTTCCAATTAACTTTGCATACCACTGTATATATAAGTTGATTGTTTTCACTGGAGTAGGATTAAATAGTTGATTGTCTTTCTTATTTTAATTTATTTTTATAGTGGAAAATGGTGAAGGCGTTTGGAACTCATTCTCCTTCAATTAAATGATTTTTCTGTTTGTTTTGGGGTTTTGTATGTGTGCACGTGTTTCACGCTGCTTGATTCAGTGATCTGTTTTCTGTTGGAGAAAATTTACAAGCACATTGCCTGCCTCACACGAATTTGTTTCCCACAGAGATTCCTAATGCAACGTGTGAGGTTTCTCGTTACCCAGCTATATGGATTACATTTTCACTCCAATACCAACAAAATTAAATTACACAAAAATTGATTAAGATGCCTGTAATCCCAATGTCTGATCTTCAGAAAAAAATTTTGTCATCTTTAAATGATAAGCCTCTGCAAAATCAACGGTAGAAGTATTCTACTTTTGTCAACTGGGATACATCTACAATTGATGTAGCAGCTAGTGCTACAGCAAAATGTTAACAGCCAACTGTACAGCAAAATTGAGGATCCAATTTTTTTAATGATTTTGTCTTTTCTGGGTTGCGTTAGTAAAAAAAGTAACAACAAAGCCAATAGACTGTATTCATTTGTACACCTCCAGTTCCAGAACCCATGTGGATTAATACACATCACACTTTCCTAATCTTAAAATAAGCATGCAATTCTTCAAACTAGATTTTAATACCTTCAGTTTTGTTTAACACTGTCACATTTTGAGCAGTTTGTCATTTAGTGATATGCTTGAAAGACAAAACAATTCAAAATCAGTAGTGGTCAGAATTAAGTTTTATATTTAAAATGTGAGGAACTAATATAATATATAAGTAACAATGTATCTCTTCTTTCAAAATGTAATGAAGGTTGATAGATTTCTTTGTAAACCTTATTGGTTCTTAATATCTGGCTAAAATTTTCCAGTTTCCATTAAACATTTAGATAAATATTTTGCTTTGGTGATTATCCAGATTTATTCATGTGCATTTTGATTGGCTAACAAGCATGGTATTTTAAGGTAATAAGTTATATTTCATTTTTTTTTGTTATCGTAGAACTTTTCTTATCCTAACAGGGCTAAAATAAAGAATGGCAAGTGCAAGTCTGAATGTAGCATTTCATAATTTCTTTTCAAAATAATAGGTGCTCCAATCATTGTTTCAAGTTGTCTTTATACATTTCAAAATATGTGGTTTAGGACACGCTTCTCAGGACAATGTCATAGTTCAGTATTAACGTCTTTTGGTTTTGAGTGCTTCACCAGACCCTTCTTTTTCTAGCAGCCTGTGGGAACTGTTCCGCTTGGTGTGTCAGTAAGTCGAAAAAAAGAGGATGAAGCATCAGTTGGAAGTGCACCTTTGGCAAGGCAGCAATCAAATCAAGCCTCTGAGTATGCCAGCAGTCCTGTCAAAACAAAAACAGTAACAGGTATGATCACTTGAGTGAAACTAGACATTCTGCCTTTGCAACCTCCCTCAATAACATGCATCCACAATTGAACAGCATCAGCTGTGCAAATACTGTGGAACAACTTTCAGTTTTAAAGAAATATTCTCCCAGAAAACTACAATTTGTTAAATTAAAAATAATCAAACTTTCAATTTTGAACTGTATGTTTAATTTTCCTCTCATTTTCATTTAGGTACTATCTTTGGGGCCCTGATATTTTCGTGTAACACGTTTTCTAAAATGGGATAAAGGAGATGTGCTTTTAATAGACTATCTGACATTTGCCTTGATATTTAACGTTTTAGTCCACAATTTTATCAGACTTTACACTGTGATTAATCTCTTTGATTTCGGTCAGTCTGTTCACATTGCTTAAAGTCTGGCATGTATGGAAATGAAGATTTGTGCATAAACAGTTAAAATTCACTATTTTCAAAATCACTCTTCCATAGAAAATACATTTATCGGCATTTCTGGTTCTGGAGTTCAAGAAATTATTAAATTTAGGAATATTTTCTGGCCGCTTAAGAGTGCTAAAGTTAAACTTTGTTATCACTAATCAAGATGTTATGGCTTTCTGGGATTTTCTAGGCTATTTATTCATATAGTACTGTCTGCAAGTAGTAAAGGAGGAGGTCATGCAAAAAAAGTGACTATCCAGCTGAGACTTTTAGTAATCCTTTGAAATACACTGAACAAATTATCTTTTCCTTTGCATTGATGTTTATTTCCAGATAATCATGAAGTACTTCAAGATGTTGTCTGCTGAAACTGAGATTACAATCTTTTCCATTAGTGGGAGGGTTAATTATTATTTTGAGATTAAAAAGTACTAAACCCAGAAAATCTGTTTGAATATTATGTGGGTCACCATGTTATCATTGCTAGTAAAATAATAGATTCATTTCAAAGACTTCTTTCTATTTCATTTATTAATATCCTTTATTTTTGCCTCTAATGAAATAACTGTATTAAGTATATTCTTCTTTTAACAATATTTATCATCTGTTCTGCTATATCCACATCACAAATGATTTGTTTCCTCTGGAGGTTAATTCTACCTGTGCCTGTCAACAAAGCACAAAGGTGTAATTCATCACTAGAGAAAATTTTGCAATATTGAATATTTGACATTCAAAACCAGCTATTTGCATGAACAGATGCTAGATTAGTTTGTGTTACTTTTATAAATTGGTAATTATGCATGCAGTTTGCAGAAGTAGCTTTGTACTTGAGTTTTGAAAATTAGTGTCCCGGTGTGGCTCAGCTTGGTAGCCAGTTTTGCTCTTCAACCTTTGTTATTCTTCACCTGGAGTGTTAGTTCTTCTGCAGTAACGATCACACCAGAATAGTCTACTAAAAGAAAATGTTATTGTTCAAAAATGTAGAAATGTCATGAATGTCAGTTTTGCTTTTGTTTTGGGTTTTCTGTGAGTGCAGAAATGATAAAACAGAATGATCAATTATAAATAATGTCCTAAAAGCAAAAGAAGGAGTTTTGTGTATCTTCTTCCACTTTTTAATTTGAGGTCAACATCAAGTTGTGTTTTCAGTTACTTAGTACAACACACATTGCTACAAAAATGAAAAGTTCGTTTTAAGGTTTCATTTATCTTAGCTACCACTTGCTTAACTCATTCAGTTTATGAAATAAATTTAGCCTAAATGCTGGGGGTTTTTTTGTGATTAAGCAGATATTTGGCTTCTCTATACAATAGTTTTGTAGCATAGAGCTTGATGCTAATGAGTGAAAGGTGATAGTACTAATTCTCTGAGATAACATTGACTAAGCATTTTCGTTTTTTAATTAGAAGCAGTCTTTCAAGAAGAGATTACTAAATTTGTTTTCACTAATTCTCAACTGTTAAAAATTTGTTGAAAAAAGTTGCTATTTTTTTAAGAGAAGCTACATACATATAGCAGAGGGTCTGTTTGGTTTGGTTTTAAGATGTAGTGTGCTTGACACTGCCGGTTTGAAGGCTAGCCTGTGTTTTTAAATGTCTACCTATTTGTTATTCTCTGGAGATAAAAAGCCAGGTTTAATATACCTGAAGTGTTTGAGATTTACATGCAAAAATGGGGAATAAAAATACGAAATTAATGCCAGAGAGCAAAAGCCTCGTATGCTAGTGAAATTATTTAAAGGGGTGCTATCTTTCTGCTTCAATAGACCACACAGATTTTCCTTAATTAAAGAAAGAAAGGAGAGCCATGTCGCACTGCAGTGCCAGGCGGGCTTGTTCTCTGTATAGCCTCCTGAAACTTCATGTGATGTTAGAAGCTTTTCCTGTAGAGTTCATCTTGTGTCAGTATTGGCTTTGCACTGGAAGATTCAGGGGACAGTAAAAATTAACACATATCTTGTGTCACAAAAAAAGTCTCTGCTTTGATTACAAAGCCACCAGTTACAGTGGTTAGAAAAGGTTGGATGGATGCAAGTGTGAAAGGTGAGATCTCATTCTCAGAGAAGTTTCAAGAGATCCTTTCTTTCACAATTTGTTTCTTTACAGGTATATAATGTGCTGGAATATGGTGAATGAGTGACTAGTTTATTAAACTAAAAAGAGAGTGCCTGTGATCTTCTTTCTAATTTTTCTGGGTCCCTCACTCCCACAATTTTTCACTTTATTTCCTTTCTTTTAATTTCACCTATTTTCTGCCTAATTTTTGTTTCATTGTTTGTCTCACCTTTTTAAACCAGGAATAGCACACTGATTATAGGTCTAGGATGTATAATGCTACCTATGCTACAAAAGCATTCTAGGTAAAAGGGGCAACGATCCTTGTAAGCGACAGACTTCTTAATCATCAAGGCTCTAGCTACAGATGCCTTGTCAGAAAACTGAGATTCCTACATTGATAGCAAGCACGTATGCATAGTCTTTGCAGATTCAGAGAGATTGCATCTTAAAATCATGCTATTCAGGTGGTGATTTTGAATTTGTCCTGTTCAAGTTTAGCATTATCTCAGCAGTCACTCCCTTGAGAACTGCTAGAAACCAACCCTATGTATTAAATGGAAGCAGTTTGTAATCACAGCTGTAAAATGATTTAAAACATTGATCTTGAGTTCAGTTTATTAGTTAATGGCTGCTGAGATCTTGCCAAAAATGAAGCATGGGAAAAACACAAAACTACTATTTATATGGTATCTGTCTGTGAAAATCCAAGGTTTCTGTTCTTAAGTCTCAAATTGTAGTTATTTATAAATCTCCTTAACCACAGAGGCTTCAAAAACAGAGTAAGATAATAGAATATATGATTTAAATTCTGTATGATGTGGCTGTGAGCAAACAAGGTGATAAAGAAAAAATATTTTAAAAAGTTACAAATATTTACCTCAATTCCTTCATTCACCCACTTCTCTGATTCTCAGCACTTCAGCAGTTCCCTGTAAGTTCAATGAAAAGTGATTTGCAGACCTGTGGCTATACATAGAAGTATAGCTCTTATGTCTGCATAGTGGCAAAATACTTGCTATATGTGTGTATAGATATGTTTTTTTATATATACATGTAGCATATGTAGCCTGCCTATACAGGAAGATATTCTAGGCTGCAGTAGATGGATAGGACAGACTTTGGAAGCCATCGTGTACATACTATTGAATAATGATTAGAGCTAAAGTATCTGTTTTCACACATTCAAGATGGTTGCTCGTTCATTACTAAAATAACTTGTAGATTTCATTCATATTATGTTATTAAATTATTATAATTTTCGCTTTGAAAAATGAAATAACATTTTCCATGCTTGAAGATGAAATTGGGGTTTTGGGGGAGTTTTACTGCCTCCTCGTGAGGCCTGTTTGTAGCCATTACACCGAAATGTAATTTCACCAACTTTCTACTGTGACATCCAAAACTTAACAGTGCTTGGAAGTAACCATGATATCCCAGGCACAAATTTGATACTGTCTCTTTTTTTCCATAGGAAACCAGGCAAAGAAAGATTCCCCACCTTTCCTTGCAGTCACTTCCTAACATTTGATAGTGTAGATATAATAACATGCTTATGACTTGGTCATTAGATACTTTCTATAACTGGAACTTCTTGGTTGTTACAGGAAGCGTTAGTAACTTGATTTTGAAAGCTTTACTCAAGTAATTCTTAAAATTCCTTGAACGCATACACATGAGATACTTCGGAACCACTACTAAATACCCCTCCATAAAAGTGGAGAAAAAAGGAAGCTTTAAATGTAGACATGTCTCTATTTTATTTAGGCCAACTGATTCTGTGTTAGTGTTTGTATTTGAAGTTGCATCTCAAGTTAATAAACTTTCTGTTGAGTACAGTGTGGCAGAATATGACCTATACTTAGCAAAACTGGATGCAGCTACTGATTTATTTTTTTCCTAAAGTACAGCTAGAGTACTGAACTAGATTCCTGCTAAAATGAGCTGTTGGAATGCAAAAAACTGGCAAATGTGAGAGAAGTCTGGCTGGTGGGAAATCAATGGATTATCTGAAGTATTTGAATTAGTAGGTCACTATTTCTGCTCAATGAACTGCATGATTATCGTTTATTCATGCCTGCTATGAAATGTATGACTGATTTATTTGGGAAGATGAATGAAATTAAATAGATGCTAAATAGGCAAAGTAAAATACAGGAATTTAAATCTGATACACATTTGCCTAGGGTGCCTGAAAATACTAGGATTTTTGTATTTTTATAAATGGAGTTTAGTTCTTGGAAGGATTGTTTAAAAGGAAGGTCTTCAGGCACAGATGATTTATAGTAACTTTTAAATGGCTGGACAGTCACATATGTATAATGAAAATTAATTATTGTGAGTTTTCATAGCTAGTAAAATGTTTGACTTTTGTGTTATGACAGCATGATTTCTTCAGTTCAGTGTGTGGATTTCAAAAACGTTATTAAGACAAAGCCAATGTAGTATATCAAACACGCTTTCTGTATGGAGAAATTAAAATCTGAGAGAGCAAGAAGGGGGATTTATTTTTAGATTATA